GTGTGCCCGAAGACAGTGGCACTGGCACAGAAATCTTGCTCACTCGGCTACCCATTTCCTAGGTGAATCCAGGAATTCTGTAAAGTGAGACCGAGAATAGTTGGCTCTTAGAAGACTATTTTTGTAAAAGCATCAGTTGGAACATATTAGGAGTGACAGCATAAACAACAGAATGAAGACTGGTACAGGACTTCCATTATTCACTAAGCCTTTTCAAAACTCACTTCCTTTCTTCTGGCAGCTTATTAGCTCGAGAGCCTCTCTAGAACACTGAGGAACAAGCAACAAAAAATTAAGCAGAAGAATTTAAAGAAAGAACAAGAGACTGTTTCACCTTTGGACAAATCCTCAAACACAAGACTAAGTTCTACATTTTCTAGTATATACTCTCATATATAATGTGACCTTGCAACTATAAATTATTCACCAACCACATTTTTCCTTTGGTGTTGGGGTACTTTCCTCGCCGCAACTGACAACTAGAAAACGAAATTAGAAAAATCACATCAGTTTCCTGCTTGGTAGTCTTTATACCACTTCCAAAATTTAACAGAAAAAAGTAAAAATAAAATCATGTAATGTGCAAATGGGACTTGATTCTACTGTATCCTCAAACTTTGTTTCCTCTTCTAGAGCTTAACACCGAATGGCAAAAACAAGCCAAAAAGGTCGAGTAAGGAAGAAGCTGTAAGAGAAAGAAGGAAACTAACTGCCTATACCTCTTCTGCTGCTTTTGCAGTGTTCTAAGAATCAAATGATTTTGTAGCATCTTCACTCTTTGAGTAGCTGTGTCCCTCTCAATCCATTTCAGGATCACATTTGTTTTGCAGTGTGTACAGTTAGCTCAATAATTAGACCCAAGTGCAAATTACACAGATGTTTGCAGCAGGCCACAAATAACATCCATTTGAGCTTCAAAAATATCTTATTGGCAAATGTGAAAACTAAGAGCAAAAACGTCCTAGGAGAATTCTACAGCACATGGGTAAGACTCCAAGTGCTACACATACGTAACATATCCTGCGCTTCCAAGAAGCTTTCCAGAAACAAGACAAGAAGCAAGTCTCCTGTGCGGAACTGATTAATACACACATATGTTCAGTGAAGCCGTCACTTCTGCAGAATACCAGACAGACTGCACATGCACAGCGGATCCCAACAGCTGAGGCGCTAGAGCACATGGGCTGCGTCTGACAAGAAAAGGTAAAATGGCTCACTAAATGAGAAATTCCTCACTTAGTCACCATTATTTGAAACATCGTCTTCTGAAGATGGTATTTAATGCCAGACAACAGTAACAAGTTACAGTTAGCAGGAGCATTTTCAGCCTCACTGCAAAACCACATCAAGTTCTAGAGCTCTTATACAGAACTTCTATTAGTTCCATCTTCAATTTTTTCAGCGTAAAGACAGCCAGAGGCAACTCCTCAGAGGAAAGATCTCTGCAGCCTCTGTGACAGATGTATACATCACAGTATTAGAAAGATATTACGAGTGTGTTTCAGCATGTAATGAAATAACAGGAGTGTGCTGAAAATCTCACCAACTATATAAAAGATGTGGAAAAGATTTTACTGTATCAGACAGGTGATCTTCAGACACTAGTACAAAATGAAAAAATGTGTGCAGATCATCCCTACAGAAGCATTCCCCTATAACTCAATCCAAAATAACTTGTAGTAGTATTCAGCTTGGAAGGCCTGGACACATATTTTTAATGTCCAATTTAAAGTAATACATTGTCATATTAATAATTTCTCTCCCTCCTGTAAATTTTTGCTTCTTTTCTCTTTCAACAGGTTCTAAAACAACAGCAGACAACTCACCTGAAAGGTTTCTAAGTTCAAGTCTTGTTACTCCTTCTCTGTTTGATTCTGTTACTTCACAAGTGTAATTTCCAGCCTCTGCTTCTGCACTGTTAAGTATTAGAGAGGCAATACCCTTGGGTAAATCCGTCTGAGATACTAAATTAGCTGATGGAAACGTTGGATCTCTGTAAAACTCCAGTTTTCCTCCATCAAAAGAAAAAATTTGTTTGTCTTGTCTTTTCCACGTAACAAACATAACATTTATGTTGTTCTCCTTTAGATTAGTCACATTGCAAGGTAAAATGACAGTTTTATCACAGACATTTTTTTCAACATCTGTCGAACTAAGTATCAACTGGGCAAAACCTACAAAGGAAAATGGAAATTGACACATTCAGAATTATTTCTTAATATGCAGGAGGAGAAAGAAAAACTAATTACAACACGTGACTTGGGAAAATAAAACAAACTCTCTTGTGAAAAAAAAAACACAAAAAGAGAAAAGTGCTTTAAGAGAGTAACAAAAGAAGGAAGAAAGGCATTATCACAATTCTACCACAGCCCCTCTACACAGACTTAGCCATTCTCATGTCCATTTAATGTATAGAGACCATAGCTCTTCATAAATTTTTTTTTAAAAAGTAATAAAACATGGGGCTATGACTTACTTGGCCACTTCTCCTAAAATGTCATACACAGAAATGCAAAGCACACACATAACATTAACCACAGGTTGTCCCACTGATGTTCAAATTTTTGCTGCTGATCACAGAGGTATTGAGGTTTCTAAAAACAGGCATCCAGGGATCAGATGCACACAAGCATCCTTCACAGTTTGTTAATGACAGGAGGTAAAAAAAAAAAAAAATATCTACTTTTACACTTCTGGGAAAAGGCAAGGAGGGCAGCTTAGTAAATAAAGGTTCATAATTTGTTCCTTCTTAACTCTGAAGGTGGAGCCAAATGCCCACAGGTTTAGATCATTTCTTGCCAATTCTCTTTTCCTTTCTAATGGAGGAGATGCACACACAATACCATCTATTAAATAAGATTATTACTTACTTAGTATTTAAGTGTATACACAATTGAAAATGGAGACTACGTAATAATAAACAACTCATATTATAAATCATTATGATTAATGCTACTGACGATAGCATTCAATGCAGGAATGAAAAATCATGGTGACACAGGATTATGCTATCACTGCTGGTTTTTACTATTTCTCTCCCATGCTGCACCACAGTTCTAAACCAGTGGTACCAACTAAGCACTGTCAAGAAAGACCTAAATCCTTCGCTGAGATTTCATCAGAAATGAAGATCCACTTCTCAGTTCTTGAGAATACCAAAAATTATAACATCAGTATTTAAATTACATGAGGAACAAGAAAAGAGGTTAATTAAACTAGCTTGACTGCAAAATATTAAGGCTTTGAATCTTTTATCTTCTATAATTTTTCTCATTGGTGTGAAATCATAACTCAGTTTAACAGCTGCCATAACAGTCATTGCTCCCCAAAGTCGCAGTAGGACTAGTTATTCAGAATCTTTGGCTAGAATCACCCAATAAAACCACATATAGGAAAAATACGTAGGGTAAAACAAGACCATAACCCTCAATGCTATAAGCACACAGACTTACAAACTGGAGCAGCTTCAGTGACTTCAGAGAAACTACTGGTATTCACTTGTATAAACCAGCTCAGAATTGTGATATGTATTTGATGACTCAATTCAATTACGGAAAAGGGAGTAGGAAAAAAATGAATAAAATCAATAAAAGTTGCATCACTATTTGCAGTAGCTCATTTTTTTCTTCAAACCAAGAGTCTCAGATCTAATTTAAAAAGCACTGATCTTTGAAACACTGCTTTAATATTCTCACACAAGTCACTGGATTACTACCGAGTATCAAAAGCTTATAATAAACTGTCTCTACATGTATTATGCATGAATGCATGACAGCTCTTTACAATGAAGAAAGAATTATTCTCCGGCTTACTCATGTGTTGCATTTTTTAAACTGTACCTCAAAAATTAAAAGTAACAAAAGCAGAACAAAAGCAAGCTGTACCCAAACCTCAAACTATGCCCTAACAAAAAATAAATGCACGCAATTAAAAGCTGTAATGCTTCAATTGTTCTTCGTGAAATAAATTTCCTATCTGCTTTATTTTAACACTTCACAATAAAAGGTTTCCATGTATGGGGCTGTTGGCTTTTAGTCTGGGTTTAGTTTGGGGTTTTATTTCCTCCTTTCAAGATAGCACATATACATTTTGCAGGAAGAATTTATTCACTGCTGGCTCCATTTTACTGAGAAAGGTGATTTTCAGCTAAAGGAAGCAACTATATTTCCAAATATTTATCGAAACAAATAAAAAACAAACATCTTGAAAGAATTAAAACAAGTATCGCGATTTTCTTCTTAGTATTAGCACAGAACAGCAGGAAGCTGTAGATTACAGATTCTAACGTTTTGCTGCTGTGTCGTCTATGAGAACTGGCATATCTTGCCTGAAGCCACTTAAGAAGTACTCATGTGAGCTGCTCCACCAGCAGAGTGCCGGGGAAATAACGAGCAAACCGCAGACCAGCACCAACAGAAGCACACAGACAAATATCTGCAGGTTTCATCGTCCAAAAATATAACTGCTATAGCGGAAGAGACTGGGTGGCTGCTATCTCACTAAAGGGAACCTCGCTGCCTACTACAAATGATATTTCCACTATCAACTCCTGACATTCTTCTTATGGTACGAAAAAGTCACCAGAACTTTGGCAAGAGTTCCCACACCCTGCAGGCAGCAGACTACCAGGTGTGTTCCTCGCCTCAAATTTTCTCATGGATTATCCACTCACAGGTGTCACTCTTAACTGCAGAAAACTTCAGAGCCTTTACTAAGCAGTTTGGGGCGTGGGGGGCTGCTTCTGAAGAATATGCAGTTACGAAGCCTCCACAGAAAGGCTATTTCAAATTATCTATGTAGAGCAAACTCAGGAACACTGTACATTACGGCAGAATTGGCTAAGCTTGGTAGTTACACCTGATGGCCCCCTGCCACTTCTCACCGACTAACAAAACATTCTAGGGCATTCGTCATTTCAGCCCGTCTAAAGCTCACTCAGGAGCCCAGACACCAACTCCGGCAGGAGCTCTAAACAAGCAGGCTCAGAGGTGCTGCTCCCTGACAGGAGAACGATCTAGCCTAAGTCTCCCTCCCTGCACCGAGGAGAAGGAAAACAAGAAGTGGGGCTATGAGACGCCCTTTACACCTCGACGACACACAAACTTTTTTTTTTAAAAAAAAAAAAAATCAAGAAACGCCGTAGGCCCCAGAAACTGCACGGCAGAGGAGCACTTCGATCACTTTCATTTCTTCAAGGAAGGCTAACATAAAGCTGAGTTACTTGGCACCTGAAGACGAGGAGGTCTGCGCTGCTCACGGCGTCCC